GTTAAAAAAAAAAATTAAAAAAAAAAAAAGCCTGAGCATACAAATAGATGCAAGGGGGCCAAGGATATAGTTCAGTGGCACAGTGTCTGCTTGGCAAGGTGAAGGTCCTAAGTTCAATTCCTAGTACCAAAAAAGACAGAAAAAACACAGCAACTTTAATGCACCTATCAATCACCCAGTCCAAGAAATAAAACAATGCAAAGCAATCATGGACACTCCAGCACATTTCTCTCCAGCCACACCCCTTTCTTCCCATTAGAGAACCTCCAAATCCAAGGTTGGTCACCCCACATGGCTCTCCCTCTCTCTACATAGCATACACTGTACTCTTACAACCTAAGGTACTACACCACTCAATCTTCTTAATTCTTATATAAATAATATCACTATGTGACTTTTTTATTTCTTACTCAATTTTATGTTTGTGAGAGTCACCCACACAAACACACACAGCTCTAGATTCTTTATGTTCGCTACTGGATAACATTCTATTAGGGGAATATCATGAATATGCCACACTTAGCCTAAAACACTGCCTGATGTTTTACACAGCTGCTGGATTATACTTACCTTTGTACCAGTCATTTTCAGGAATTCACACAACCACCCAAGGAGGAGGGTGAGAGTCCCACTAGACCAAACTGGAAGCAGTATGGAGAGGTATAAAATTTGTCCAGCACCCCTGAGCAGTAGCCTCAGGCTGCAAATCAAAGCCTGAAGCCATGCTAACTATAAGCTTTGTGGTCCCACCAAAACACTGCATTCATTTTATTTATTTATTTAATTTTGTATAGGGAATTGAATCCAGGGCCTACACAATACTATATCCCCAGCCCTTTTATTTTTCATTTTACATTGAGATACGGTCTTGCTAAGTCACAAATCTCCTGCCTCAGTCTCCTAAAGTGCTAAAATCACAAGGGTATGCCGCTACACCATGGCTAGGTTCCTTTTTTTAATGAAAAAACTGAGCTTGGTATTGTAGTGTACACCTATTCCTCTACAGTGCTCTAAAGGCTGAGACATGAGGATCTCAAGTTCAAGACCAGCCTGGACTACATGGTACAGTTCTGTTTCAAACAAAAAAAAAAAAAAAAAAAAAAAAAAAAAAACAGAAGTAGCTGTACATGTACCTGCAATACTAGCCTTCCCAGAGGCAAGAGGATCGAAAATTCAAGCCCAGCCTAAGGAATTTAACAAAACCCTGTCTCACATGTTTTAAAGAGCAAGCAGGATAACTGTGAAGCTGTGGCTATAGCTCAGTACAAAGACCCTAGGTTCAGACCCTGTACTGTACTGCCAAGAAAGAAAAGAAGAAAAAAAAACTGATAGAGAAGTGCTTTAAAATCATATGAAAACCTGAAACAGGATGCTCAAGTTTCTTTTTTTAACAAACAATTCCACCGGAAATTCATCTGACATCAGATGATCCTCCTGTACTCTGAGGACAAGCCTCTCCTGTGAAAGCTGCTGTGAAGTAGCTGGGGCCGCTCCTAAGTCTACGCAGAGGCTGTCTAAGTAACCTCAAGCTGAACTGCAACCTGCCTCGGTTTCCTGTGGAGAAACAGATCGCCTGCACCCACTTAAGAGACCATGGGAATCTAATCGCATGCCAACTGGCAAAGTGGAGCCCACAAAGCTCTAAGAATGACTTGGGAGCAGTTCCAGCTGGCCAGGCGCTAGAGGGATCCGGGAACAGGCCTGTGTTCGCATTTGTCCACTCTGCTCTCCACCAGTCAGCAATGGGAGAGCCCAGCCCCACTGCTCTGGAGGAAGACCAGTGTGCAACGCAGAACAATCAGAAAGAGGACTGAGGGTGGGGACTCAAAGAACCAGGCAGAGAGCAAGGGCCCCTCTGTATGTTCCAAGCAGGGGAGTCCTTAAGAGATGACAAAACCCTGCTCTAAAGACTCCCCTAGGCCAGGGTAGGATGCCAGCTCCAGGACCCCAGCTATACCACATGTCTCCATACTCTTCTGCTGTAAGTCCATGGCCTCCAGCCAGCAAGGCTAGTGCCAAGCAACCCTCCCACCTCTCCAGGTGGAAACAGCAAGAAAGCAAAAGCAGCTCCCTCCCCATACCCAGAGAGAACAATACCATCAGACTCTGTCCACTAACATTTACAGACTGCTTCAGAATAGCTTTGTTTGTGCGGTTCTGGAGATTGAAGCTGGGCTCTTTACACTGAGCTACATCGCCAACACACCCCACCCTTGGGTCTGCTAAATTGCTTAATTGCTCAGGCTGGACTAGAATCATGGGCAGAGAATGAATCACTTAATCCAGCACTCCTATGAAGCCAACACTTAACTATTCCACTTTACAGGAGTAGCAGCTCAAGTACAGAGGTGTTAAAGGTCACACCAAACTCAGAAAAGTGACCATTCGGAGGGAAACCTACAGCTCTGGGAGGGTTGCCACAGACATCCGAGGGATAATGGGGTGGGGACATGATTGGTGAGCCGGTGGGACAGCAGGTAGTAGAAGGAAGGAAGAGTCAACCACCTCAACACTGACCCCACAGAACAGCCCCCAACCCCAAGGGCGAAGGTCAGGGAAAGGGCAAGAGGAAGCAACAGTGGATAGGGGTGGGGTAGAAGGCTGACTGGGGCAAGATGGAGGCGTGGGGTGGCTGCGGAGGCGAGGGAAAGGGCTGGGGCGTGGACAGACTCGCGAAACGCGGGGACGAGGACGCGGGGCGTGGGGACTAGAAGCGGGGCCCGAGCTGGGTCGTGGAGACCAGGGTCTGGGCGTGGGTACCAGCCGTGAGCCGTGGGGACGCAGAACGCGGGTCATGCGGGCGTGAGGTGCGGCCCGGGACGTGGGGACTGGGCGCGAAGCACGCAACAGAGGGAATGGCTGCGGGGCTCGGGCACCACGGGCCGTGGGAAAAGACTGTGTGGCGCGGGGGCGAGGAGACCTCCGTGTTGCGCGGGGGGCGGCCCACCTTCAGCACGGCGACGGCGCCCGCGCTGTGCACCTGGAAGTGCGCGGGCAGCTCGGCGCCGGGCTCCGCGGCCTCGTCGGCGCCTGGGTAGCAGAAGCAGGCGTCGGCGATATCCAGGCGGCCCAGCGGCAGCGCGTCCTGTGGGGTCTTGAAGTAGTAGAGGTGGCAGCGGCGCGCGTCGAACACAAACCAGCGGGTACGGTAGCCGCGCAGCGGCCCCTTGCCCGACAGCTTCTGCAGGTAGCCGCACAGCCGCGCGGGTCCCGCCGCGCCCTCGCCACCCCCAGCGCCGCCGCTGCCGCCGCCCTCCTCAGCACGGGCCCCGGCACCCGGCATCGCCCTCCCGCCCGCCAGCCTTGGCCCGCAGCGCTCAGCGCTGGGCCGCGCGGGGCACTCTGGGACTTGTAGTCCCGCCTCCGCTCCGCTCCGCCCCCGCCCCGGGGCCTCGCCCGCGCCCTGCCTCACCTCCGCTCCCCAGGGCTTGTACTACCTCCTCGGCCCCTGCAGATTGTAGTCCGACCCCCGCCACAGCTCCACGCCCCTCAGGCTAATAGCCGGTACCCTGAGCCCCACCCGGGAGAGGCCCTGCTATTCCCTCCACCTTCCCTTGCTAGGCTCTAGGTTCACACCCTGTCAGGGGAAGTGGCTGGCTGCTTCTCTGTGTGAACTTGTGTCCCCACGGGGGGGATGAGTGATTCACAACCCACCGCGCGTCCACGAGACACTGCACTGCACGCTAAATGATGCCTCCATGAAAAACGGGTCAGTCTCCTCCCTGCCAGAGCCATGGGCCAGCATTGTGAAACCGAGAGGGCCTGTTGCCTGGTACTGAGTGGGAGCTCGGTAAATATTTGCAGAGTTCATGAATGAAAATCGGAACAGTCCGCCTCTCCACGCCTCAGTCCTTCCTGGAATTAAACAAATGTTCATGGACAGCTTTCTGTGTGCCAGGTAGGGTTCCAAGCACCAGCAGATGGAGGGTGGCAGCCAGTCATTTCCCTGCCCTGGGAGGACTGTATTCTAGTAAAGGAGTGAGGTGATGGTCAGATTAAAAAAGCAAAAATTTATGCCACATTGCATAAATGCTGATTCCATTTAAATGTTAGTCATTACCTAACTAGCACTTACCACTATGTTTTCTGTGTTCACCCAAACTTTCTAAGGATCTCAGAGCACCTGCTGGTATCAAGCAATAAAGCAGAGAAGAGGGAGTCATCTCTCTGGGTGGCTCAGAGCATGGGTCCAAACACATGCCCTGAACGACTGTGATCAGTTATGGAGGGAGGGACAGCATTCCAGGTAAAGGAAGTGTGGTGCCACAATTCACTTTATCTAAAGAAAAGGAAGCTGGTAGCTGCATTGGTGAATAGGCCAAATCAAACAAATACTTCACTCATCTTCCTGACTTTGCATATTTGAAACACACTAGAAGACACAAGCAGAAACCCAACCTTCTGAGGTGGACAAGGATACCAATGAGGCTGCCACATTAGGGCCAGGCAGGTGGGGAAAGCAGGTACAGGACCTCACCCATCTGCAACTGACTGCCCAGAGCATCCCTTTCCTGGAGTCTGGCTGGGGCAGCCACAGCAAGGATGCTGGCCACTTTGCTCTCTCCTGTTCCTTTCATTGTAAGAGGAGCATGATTCATTGATCTGTGGTGTACCAGTCAAGTTGGGGTGCACCTTTGAAATACACCAGAAAGAATCTGGGAAGGAGTGGGTCTACACACTGAAGGGCAGAAGCCACAGGTGCAGTGTGCCTGGGCCATTCTAGCTTTATTGATGAGTTGTGAGAAGCAGTGGGCATGCCCTGGGGTTCCAGAACCAAACCCTGTGGGTGTCACATGGAGGCAGAGGCTGCTAGGCATGAGGAAGGCATCCTTTCACATAAAGGGAGCTATCTCTGAGGGTTCCTCATTCCTTGGAAGCCTTAAGTGATGTCTTAATCCATCTGCTATTGCTGTAACTGAATGCCACAGGCTGATTGATTTCTAGAGAATAACTGTTAATTAGGCTCACAGTTTCAGAGTTTAAAGTCAGGCATCCAGGGCATCATGTGGCAAGATGAAGAGTCTCAGTTCATGTCTCTCCTTCTCCTAGAAAGCTGCAGTCCAGCAGATGCGGGCCACTAACAGCCTCAGGTAATTATCAGTTAGCTCCCAAGGCTCTGTCTCTGAACACCATAACATAAGACTCACAAGGTTAGGAGGGGATAAACATAGAGACCATAGCAAAGGCTAGTAGACGGTGCATTCCTTAGATTAAACACCAGCATCCTGGGCCAGGTACTAACTTCATACAGCTTTTATATCCAAAAGAGACATTTGGGTGACCAAGGACCTGACCTGTAATGCCACATAAGCCCCTACCCTCCTCCAGCCTCCCAGGAACCCAGTGGCGAGAGGGAAGTGGCCAACCATGGAGGAAATTGCTGCTGCCTGCTGAAAAAGGAAAATCGGGGTAGTGAACTTGCCCCCACGAGGCCAGCCTCTGGGCAAACCCCTGGGGGAAAACAGAGCAGTGCGTGACTCATCTTAGACTATTTCCTCAGAAAGTACAGTGTATAGCCAGAGGCTAGGAAGAAGCACCCAGGAAAGGGGCTGCCTCTGCATCTGCCAGACTGCAAGGAGACAGGACCACCAAGATGTCAACTTTAAGCCTGAGGCTGGGTGAGGCACAGAAGAAACCAACTTCAGTTGCATGAATGCTGTGTGACTTTGGGTGCCTTTTTGCCCTCTGTAGGCCCCAGTTTCCCACCTGTAGAAGGGGCTAGACGGATGTGTGGTCTCCAGGGCCCCACCCCTTCCTGCTCTGAATGTAACAGTGGTGCAAGCCCTAACTGTGAGGGCCTCAGTCATCCACAGCTCCCCAAACCAGCGGAGGCTTCACCCTTCATGGCTCGTATTCTGAGCCCTCTTAATACTCCCAGATGTCACAATCAAATTTTCCATCTCCTCAAGGCTGTACTCCAGCCATAGGCTCAGCTATCCTGTGGTTAGTAAAGCACTGCTGTTGTGGGTAACATATTTACTTCCTCCCTAGGTCCAAATGAGGGCCCATCACTCTCACCACCAGCACTGCCAGGGCACAGATGGAGTCTTCCTCTCCAAGGCAGAGAGAGACAGGGATAGCCCCACTGGTGGGGCAGGGGTACAACACATACCTAACAGGGTCGCATGGGGCACTGGAGAGAGAGGAGCCCAGAAAGACAAAGTGGCCCTCTGAGCAGAAATGCTTTGATCCCAGGAGTCCTGACCAGGAAGAAGGCTTCCTGAGCTCTTGGCCTGGCTCTGCAAGGCCACTTGCAGCCTGCATCCTAGGGTGCTGGGAAGGATCGGGGCACCTGCTTCCTTATCTGCAGATAGGACATAATAACACTCTCTGGCACTACTGTGTGTTCCCACAAACAGATGAAGCCAAACCTTGGCCTGGCCTTGGACACTGGAATCTTAGTATGTAGCTCACCATTCTGCAAACCTCTCCACCCACACCTGCCTCTGGTGCCAGGAGATGCTGAAAATTCATGTGGGCACAGGGAGGTCTAGGAGGGAAGGGAGCTCCACAGGAAAGAGCTCACCAGGCTGAGGGCCTCCAGTCATGAGCCCTGGCTACCAGTGGGCCTCATTTCCCTGCCAAATCACCAGGCAAATCTAATGGCTGATGGTTCTTTTTCCAAGAGGGCAGGCACCTCAGGCGGTCAGTCTCGCAGCCCTGCAACAGGGGGACCAGGACATGAAGAGGTAGAGGCCTATATGTCCCTGGGAGCTGCAATGATAAGCACTGAGCAGGGGAGTGGAGCTGGCAGTGTTAACACCACATACCCTAGCCCCAAGTCCCCTTTAAATCCCCATTTTATTTTGTATCAATCCAGGTATCCCTTAGCATCCCTGGGGCAGGGTTTCCAGGTGCCCTCAGGTGTCTGAATCTGAAAGTTCTCAAATCCCTTTTATGAAATGGTACCACATTTGTGTGTGACCTGCGCACATCCTCCTACATATGATAAATCATTCCTAGATCATTTATACTCCCTACTATTCTGTTCATTCTATGCCAATAGTTGTGATTCTGTGTAGGAAATAATGACAAGTAAGTGATTACATGGTCAGTACGGACACAATTTCTTCCCTCGTATTATTTATTTATTTATTTATTTATTTATTTATTTATTTATTTATACCAGGAATTGAATTTACAACCTGGAGCTTGCCAGGCAGGGGTTGTGCCACTGAGCTGCATCCGGGTCCTTCAATTCATGATTAGTTGGATCAGCTGATGGTGATGAAGCTCGTGATAGGAAGGCAGACTCTCCCCCTACATATTTTTAAAAGACATGGCCAGATCTTGAATTTAAAATACATATGCTTTTTGCTTTAAACTTTTTTGAAAAGACTAATTTTCTGATTTTGCTTCAGAGTGGCTTTGCTTTGAGGGATTCACTGAATTTATCAATCCTACAGATCCCTTGGCAGCCTCCAACATCTGAGGATGCCTGTGAAGTGAGATCATGCAGCCTCCAGCTTTTACATGGGACACAATTAAGTGAGGGTGATGCTGCATTATGCCACATGGATATTTCATTTGTGACTTGTGTTTGGGAACAACAGTATGGTTGCTGTTGTTTTCCCAAGGCTTTGGAAATTTCTAGGGGTCCTTGGAAAGTTCCCAGCACTCAGCCGTCATCCTATGAATGAAACCAACAGTCTGTGTTTTCTGGGCAGATGGCCAAGGAGAACATCTCTGGGTACCCCTCCCTGATGGCACAGTTATACTTGAAGATGACAAGATGATTTCATTGAGTGGCCTCAAGGGGACAGATGGGTCAGAATGAAATTGGCAATTTTTCTGAACTACCACTGCCAGCCTCCCTAGCTTCTTATATGCTGGGGACCCCCAACATGATTGAGCTTTAAAATCTTATCCATTTGTTCTTTTGTGGATTCCTTCACTGTTCACTGCACACAGGCAGGCAAAGAGCACAACTGAGCAATCTCCATCAGAATGACCAAAGCAAACTCCCACTGGATTGGCGATCCCAACTCTGGGAGGCTCCGAGTAAGTCTGATTACTCTGTGCTTCACCAGTTCTCTATGAGGTTGTCATTTGACAAATTTTAGGGAATAAAGACAACTGGAGACAACTGAAACAATCATCAAAAGAGAACTGGTGGGCTGGAGAGATGGCTCAGTGGTCTAAAGCACCTACTTGAAACAAGCTTGGCAAAGCACAGGGACCGCGGTTCAATCCTCCAGCACCACATGCCAGTCAGCCCCGCCCCCTGGTGGGCTGAGCTGGCCACACACACACACACACACAATAAATAAATGTAATAAATAAAAATAAATAAATATTTAAAAAAAAAAAAAGAACTGGTTACAAAAAAATGGTAACATACCCACGCAGTAGGCTTCTATGCAGCTATGGAAGTAAGAATGACATCCTCTTTGTACCCTTATGCAAGGAGATCTGAAATATGTTAATTATTTTACAAGGGGAGGGGTAGAACATTGTTCAGTACTCTACTTTTTATGGGGGGGGCACGGGGAGCTGGCACAGTGCACCCCTGATTCCAGCTACTTGGGAAGCTAAGGCAGGAGGATCACTTGAACGTGGGAGTTTGGGGCCAGCCCGGGCAATAAGAGATTATATCTCAAAAAATAAGAATTTAAAAAAGGAGTGGGAGGAGGAAACTAGAAATAGAGATACTTACTTGGACATTCAAGAAACAAGTATGGCCATGAGTGAAGATGAAAGAGATCAAAACTGAATGGATGGGGCTGGGGAGATGGCTCAGTGGAATAAACACTCCCCTGGCAAGCGCTAAGGGCCTGAGTTCGATCCCCGGTTCCGCAAAAAAAAAAAAAAAAAAAAAAAAAAAAAAAAATTCTGAATGGATGGGCTTAATGCATAGAGAGAAAATATTTTATTAATGCCTTTTTATATTTTTGAAAATTATGTGGATGTGTCATCTAAGGGAATGACAACCTCAAAATCTACTTGTGTCATGCACTGTTCTAGACACAAAAGAAAAGATTGTTCATTCTCTACTCCCCAGGTTCGTGGAACAAAGTCCTGTCTAAAAGACTATGGGGGGGCTGGTGAGATGGCTCAGTGGTCTAAAGCACCTCCTTAGAACAAGCTTAGCAATGCACAGGGACCGCGGTTCAATTCCCCAGCACCACATACCAGCCAGCCCTGACCCGGGCTGAGCTGGCCGCACACACACATAAATAAATAAATAAATAAATAAATAAATAAATAAATAAAAATAAAAGACTATGGGAATGTCCTGGCTGTAACCATAACAAGTGCAGAGCAGGCATTTGCTAAGGAGCCCTCGCAGGCATACCCCCTAGGAGCAGGCTACCCACCACTAGGGCTTGTGCGTAGTACCATGGCACTGGCCCGGGAAAGGGGAAGTAGAGATTTTTCAGCCACACCCCCAACTTCTGAAGCATGAAAAAGATCTGAAGGCTAAGTTGAGGACACTGGCCAACAATATAACAATTGAGCCAGTATAATGGTGCTACCATAAACCCTAAAAAGACAAGGCTTGCAGACCTTCTGGATAGCTGAGGTTCTTGGAGAGTGGCACACCTGATAGGGCATGGAAGCACCATGCCCCTCCTATATCTTATGCTGTTCCTCTCTTCATCTGGTATTCATAGGTATCCTTTGTAATATTCTATCCTTTATTAAAGAAACCATTTAGCATTTTAATAAAAGAAAGAAAAGACAAGTAGGCTGGGCACAGTGGCACTCACCTGTAACACCAGCACTCAGGACACTGAGGCAGGAGAATCTCCACAAGATTTTTTTTCCAAAGTAAGTTATATTTGTTGGTACATCATTTTAGGTATACATAATGGTCATGTCATCATGGGGGATTTTTTACCTGTATGTGCAATAACTTCTTTTCCATTCCTTTACCCTCCCTTCAACCCTTCTTCCCTTCATTTACAAAAGTTTTGTTTCCATTTTCTCTCTAAGTTTGAGGCCAGCCTGAGGTACATGTGAGAACCTGTCTCAAAGAGGGGGGGACAGGGACAGGGACACGGACAGGGAGGAGGAGAAAAGAAGAGAAAGGAGAGGAGGG